CTTCCCTTGGAACTTCAAACAAGCCTGTGCTTTTAAACTGGCGCAGAGAAGTATATTACATTTTTTAAAAACCCAACACAAATCCTTTTGGATCTTTTTTTTACATTATTCTCCCCACCTCTGTCTTGGTAGGTGACTTTTCCAGTCCTCCCCCACTTGGTCTGCTGGGTCTGAGTGGAGGTAAAGGAGAATTCCATGTGTTTTGTGTGTGTGAACAATTAATAGTGGTACAGTGTCTTGCTGGAAGAGTGTGTAAAACATACCCCATGAGGGGGAACAGAACACACCCCAGGAGGAGGAAAAGTAACCAGCCTGCTGAATCCAGAGCTTTTCCTGTCCTCTAGGCAAACACGATGTGGGGGTTGGTTTGCTTATTCATCAGCAGCAGTAAATAACGGGCCTCACCTTGAGCTCTCCTTCAGCCACTTCTTCTCCTCCCCAGCCCCCCGGCTGGCAAGGAAAGGGAATATTTACTGTCCTTTGGGTGATAAACTGTGGGTTTATAGCTGTTCACGTTTTAGCTTTTGTTTCCTCCCTAAAAAGCTCTGTTTTGGTCTCTGTGGCTTTGTCTTGCCCAGCACCTGAAGCCTCTTCCTGGAGTGTCCAGCCTGGCACGGAGACTGAGTCTGACCATGGACTGAGCTCATCATTCCCACATCCCAGCCAGGCATTGTGCATGCAGGTGCTGTTCTGGGCAGGACACAGGATGCACCTGAGTCACTTCAAACAGTTATAATCTGATCTCTCAGAGCAGCACCGTCAGCAGCTTTTCCTCCCCCTCATGTAGTACACGGAGACGTGCTCCCATCTCTTGGCACCTTAGAAGTCCCAACAAGCCACGAGTGGCCAAGACCTGCCAAAGCCTGTTGATCCAGACACTGGATTCCTAAAGCCTTTGCTTTCCCCAACACCTTCATAAAGTGTCCTGGATTAAGGTGATTTGGGGAACACATTTCCAGGCTGTCAGAGCGCTGCATCCATCACTCCCCTGAACACGCACCAGATTGTTAATGCTCCAGGCCAAATACCACGTCTTTTTTAATGCCTACCAAATGTAATGTGTGCTGCTGGCTCTATATTTATAACAATTATTAAAGTAACGGCACTACCCACATTCCTACAGGCTGAAAGTGGCCAGGAACAGACAAAAAAAATGATTCATTGTTCCAATTAATGCTGGAGCTCGCACCAGTGATTAATTAGCCTGGCGATAGTGCCATGCAAAAGATCAGGATGAGAATTAATAGGCAGACACGTGCTGACTTCTAAGAGGGTTCCACCAGTGTTTGGTGCCCTTCCTTGGGCTGCCTCAGCCCGTTAATTAGAGGCACCGGCACGGGCTCGCTCCGCACCGACAGAGCCAACGGCCGGCGGTGCGGAATATTTATATGACAGTGTGCAGCACAAAACTTCAGAACTAAATTCCCATCCAGGTCTCTAAATATAATTTTGAAATGTCAGAGACGCTGGGAGGAACGGCGGCGCCGCATGAGGCTGCTGTCAGGGAGAGGCAATAGTGTGCCAGATTTATACTGGGCTGAACAGGCAGGTGACTTTTCAGCTGCTGTGTTTCAGGGAGCCTGAAGTGCTCTGCTGGACCTGTTTCACCTGGTGGGAGGCAGAGGATCCAGCGGGAACACGTGCTGCAGCCTTGTGCACCTCACTTGGATGGCTAAGATGGAGCAGGGGCAGCTCCCGAGAGCCTGTGAGGCCCCACGAGGCACAAACCACTCTGAAGCACCAGCCTTTGAAGGTGAGCCCTGTTGGCAAAGTTTCTCCTCCAGGCTTTATCCATCACTCCTTCTGCTGCCTCATTACCTTTCCCTTCTGCATATTGGCCCTCCCACCACCCCAGTTCATCTCTCCCAGTTGCAGCAGCCATTGACTGGTTTGTAGGGACGGGGTGTAGCCAGTCCTGCCCTGGCTGCGCCCAAATCGCTGACGAGGCTGATCGCTCTGATCACACTGAGAGCACAGGCAAAGTTCCATCCTGCTGAATTAATTGTTAGGAGCAGCAACCCCAATGTCTTTGTAAATAAAATATTTTAATCTCATGGGGCCTGCCTGGAGAGAGGGAAATAAATACATCAATATGTAAATGGAACCATAAGAGGAGGATGAACTGGGACTTTGCAAAACTGATAAAGCATCTTAGGAGACGTGTTGTCACTGCACTTCGTGCATATTCTGATGAAGCAGACAGGGAGGCTGGATCTGAGCCTGGGTTGGGGGGGGGGAAAGGAGGAAGGGAGGGAGGGAGTAGTGTGGGCACCAGCACACCGTGACTGAAATTCTTGTATGAATTGATTTGACTCAAATATATTCCGAAGCTCGTCTAATTGCTCCTTTAGTCTCAGGCTTTGATTTTCCTGTTGTTTTCACATCTGTGTTGCTGAGTCTTTGCTACATTTCAAGCAGCCTGGTTGGGGCAGTGGCCAGACCAAGCTGCCCCTCTGTGTGACCAGAAGTCAGCACCTGTCCTTGCTGAGCCCTTCCACAGAGCCTCTGCAGCCCAGCGGGCACAAAGAGTGAAGGACAGTGAAGGTCAGGCTTTTGCTCAAGGGGTGTTTTCTCTGTTTAACAGCCTTGGGGGTTATTTTGGAAAACAAAGCCTGAAACTTTTGGGACACCTCGTTCATGATGGGCCCGTGCTGGTGTGACTCCCCCACAGGAGATCTGAGGGAGCTGGGGGAGAGCAGTTAAACCAAACATGAGCAGGAGAAGGAAGGTAGTGACCAATTTCCTCTCGTGCATCCTGCAGGATCCTGCCTGGCTGTCCCTCACCTGTCCTGCCCTGTGTGCCCTGTGCTGTGTTACCCCCTTCCCGGGAATCGCCGCTCTCCGGCACGGCACGGGTGGGAACACAGAGGCTCTGTTGGCAGGCAGCGGCTCCCCTGGCAGGCAAGAGCAAACCTGTCACCCACCTCGGGCACCCGGGCGCGTCTCCAGTGATTTCCAGGGCCAGGAGAGCAGGAGAACCCTCCCACCGCGCTGCCCGGGGCGCTGCCTCCCTGTCCGCGGGCTGAGCTCCAGCCCTTGTTTTGCAGCGCGCACGTGGAATTTTATCACCTTCAACAATGGAATCTGTCACCTTCAAGCTGCCTTATTGTAATCTGGGGATTTGTGCCCCGGCCCTGGAACAGGAGCTGGGCTGCTGCCACAGAGCCCCGCGTCCCTCCCCGTGCCATTGCTAACGCCTCTGGGCCGACGGTGGGAACTTTAAGGACATATTTGGGCTTGTTTGCTCACCGGGATCAGATCCTTAATTGATCTTTCCTCCTTCCTTTCTCTCTCTTTGCCTCCTTCTGTCTCACGTGCGTCTCAATCGCCGCCTTCTGATCTGCTTCACCACCCCCTCCAGCTCGGAGAATAAATCCCATCAGACCTGCAGTACAGCCAGGATGCAGGAGGGGATCTGGCGTTTTAAAGAAGCATAAATACGTCTTTTAATCGATGGCACCTTCATGTTGCATCAGGTATAAAAGCACAGGTGTTTGAGCCATTGGCTGGTGGATCTGCTGTGTGAGAAGGCGATTTGATAGCATAGGGAGTGGTGCCTCCTCAGCAGACGTGGCTTGGATGTCACAGCCCTTCAAGTGGGCTGTTGTGGGAGCCTTGGTAATAAATTAACTTTGATTAATCTGCTTTAATGATCTGCTAAGATCAGAATGCTTGCTGCATTTCTCTGGCTCCCATTGTAGCTGCATTTTTGCTTTAGGGGCTGAGTAGTTTCCTCTGAAATGCAGTTATGTACATTTGCATATGCATTTGTATGGGCTAATTATAAACTCACCATCAGCGCTGTGATCCTGCACAGCAAAAGGGTTGTCCCCGTTTGGAAATGTCTGCTTTGGTGCAGAAATCAGAGGGCTTTTTTTGTCAAATCATTTGGTCACATCTTTGGGGCCTGGATTTTCAGTGAATAATCAATATCCGCAACAAAAGATTTAAACAAAAAAAAAAAAGGTGTTCATTGAAGTTTCTCTGCAGGAAAAGATCGATAACATGTTTTATTAAATATAAAGAGACTTATGTCTCAAGTTCCATCACACCACAGCTTATAATAACCCTTCAGAAGCTCAAAGCAGGGCTTTTTTTCATTAAGCAAAACGTTGTGTTCCCCTGCTGCCTTCATTCCAGCAGCACATTGGAAGGTGCCTGTGCCCAGCAGCTCTGGCCTGGAGGGCTGTGCTCACCCCTGCCCCTCGATGCCGTGGCTTATTTCATAAAAATGGAAATGTTTATTTCCAAAGTGGCTGTGTAAGGGGTGTCAGCATGTGAACAGTGACAGGGAAGCACGTTTTCTGGGTGGCAGTTTTAAACATCTGCCTCCTGAGCTCTAAGCAGGAGATGGGGACTTGGAGAGGGCCCCGATGGTGCAGCTCATCCACAAGTCTCCCATAGCCAGTGGTCCCAGCTGTGGGAAGTGCCCCCTCTCTGTCCGTGCACTTGGACATTTTAGAGCATGACAGTGGTCTCTAGGACTGGGAATAGAAGGATTTCCAGCACCACCAGCGAGGAGCTGGGGCAAACCCCTCATTACTCTGCGTCCCTCTGCCGTTGGAGGTTCCAGAAGTGGGACTCGCAGGCCAGTGCTCCGAGGCAGCCAGGAAGGCTTGGAATAAAGAAATGCTTCAGTCATATTTTCATTCCCCATGGCCAGGTTCCAGTATCCAAACTGGGATTCCCAGAGTGAAATGCAGTTGGCTTTTGCCTCTGCTGACCTTCAGCAGCAGCTGTTCCAGCGCTGGGTCCTTGGAGAGCTCTGAGGATGCACCTCTGTGTGATGTGTCAGGCTGATATTCCTGCCTCCAGCCTGTCCTAAACCATATCTGACATACCCAACTGCAGAGGTTTTGTGACAAACCAGTAGAAACCTTTCCTCCAGCAACAAAGATTTTTTTTTTGCAGGGCAAAAATAAGCAGCAACGCAAATATCATTCTCCGTTTTGTTCTCCCTGTCTTTTTTCCCCCTTTGCTTCAGGAAAGCAGGAAGAGGCGAGGAAGGATTGACACTCTATCCCGCCGAGGGCCTTTCCTAAGATGCCTGCTGGGAGCACTCACTGTGTGTTTCTCTTTAGGTAGGAGCTCTTCTCATTTTCTCGCTGCCTCGCAAGTCGCACTGAGGTGCCTGGAGAAGGATTTGCTGCTTGCTTATGAAATCCATTCTCCCTCGAGGATCTGCTCTTTCCAGCTTGATAAACTTCTAATTCTTGCTGTCTAATAACACCGAGGGACTGTGTTTTGTGCCTTGATGAGGATTTTGTGATTGATGTTCATCGGCACTTGCAGGAGAGCAGTAACCTCATTTCATTTTTGACAGAGCGGCGGGACGAGAGCTCTGTCTCCTTCCCCCTTCTTGGTCAGGTATAAATGAAAGAGAAAGTGAAGTGGATCTAATCTGTCCAGATCTACTCTCTCACCGTGTTGCTCAACTGCTGACACTGTGTGTGCCCCGCGTGGCTCATGGGCACGTGGTCAGAGGACACGCTCGGCTTATTTCTGCTATCGCTGTGTTATCTTGTTTTTATTCTTGGTTCTCTGCACTGTCCGGGATGTTTGGAAGGAGCTGTTGTAACTTGGCGTGGGAGTCGATGGCTTAAATATTACCTCACAGGCTCCATGTGAATTTAGAGCAGATAAGGATTGGACCCCAAATGGCTTTTTTTAACCCATTCCTGTATTTTCTAGTTCTTTCCCTCTGTTCTTTCTGATCTACTTCCATCCATTTTGAGATGTTTTATGCTTAGACCAACTTCATCTGTGATACCTGAACAGTTTCTACATGGTCAGTAGAGAGATCTTGCACTTATGCACATGCATGTGCACACACAGGTACCCCTTCTGATGAAGGGCTTGTCAGCATAAGAAATCCCAGAGGAAGAATGCCCACAATGAGGAATTCATAGAAAATACACCAAGTACTATTAACCAAGGTAGCCAGGTGATATCATTCACCAAACTGTGACACTGTTCTCATGGAGTAAATATAATTTCCCTTTAAAAATGCCTTTTCTTTCCTTAGGGGAAAGGACACTTAGAGCACCTGTACTGAGAGGTAGAAGGTGGAGGAGCCTGTGTGCATACCCTGCTTCCCTTGCTGTTACACAGATTCTAAACACAGGTTTGGATATTCCTATTATATGTTTATTTTTCCTCTCTGCGTTCTTGCTTTGAAGTACCTGCTTGTGTTCTCAATGAAGAACAGCTGAGAGATCAGGAAAATGGCTTAAGCATTCAGTGGGCTGGAAGCTGTTTGGATTTCAAGCAGTGCCTGGGAAAGAGCTCTGTGCAGTGCCTTGCTGAACAACCCTCCTTCTGTCACCGGCCGAGGTTGCTGTCCTTTGTTCCCTGCCTGTAACTCTCCAGAGCCTTCAAGGGGGGGAAAAGAAGGATGAAGGAGGTGCTTTTAATTTCTCTTTTTTAAATCCTCCCAAGTCCTCCTTTAAAAAGCCACAGCACAGCCCTTATGGGCCATCTGCCTTTATTTCTCTTGTGCTCCTTGGCTTTGTTTGTTCCTCGTTTCCCCTCTGTGCCCCTTTGCAAACCTCGGATCCTCGGGAGCCATGAGCAGGGCCCAAGTGCCACCCGAAGCTGGAGCTCCCCCTCTACACTCTGCAAAGGAGGAACTGCCTTTGGACACTCCAGCACAGCCTCTGGAGTTTCTAAAGCCATTTTTGTTCAGAAATTCCTGTTGTTGTTGTTCCTGCTGACCTCAGCGGGCTGTATCTTTTCCAAATGTTTCTGACGTTTCTCACAGGGTAATAATCTATTAATGTCGCAGACAAGGATTCTGCTGACTTCAGTTTGGCTTCTGTTTCCCATTGGATGGGCTCCTCTCTTTATGGGGGAATGCCTCCAGCCAAAAAGAGAGGAAAAAAAACCCCAGCCCTGAGCTAAGTGAAACCAGGCCCGAAGGGAAGCGCGTTGCAGCCGCGTTGCCTCTCGCTGGCTTCTGTTCTGTGCTTGGGGATGTGCCAGACTCCAGTGCCTCCATGCTTTTGATTCCTGTTTATCCCCGGCAACATGATTGTCTGTAATTATATATAATCTCCCCCTTGTTTACTCTTCTTCCTCCAGGTCTGAACACAAGCTCGATGGCAACTCTCAGCTCCGTCTGCCGAGGCTGCAGCTCCAAAGCTCCTCACCATCCTCCACCTTCTCCTCCAGAGTAACAAAGCCATTGGATTTCCTCCCACCCCTTCCCCACGCTCCCCCTCCCCCTCGCTGGCACCGGGGTTATTTATACAGAATGTGGAAACAATTTGCAGGAAAGTGAACAATGTAAGCGGGAGCGAGGGAAGGGAGACAAGTTTGTTGTGCACACTGAGAGCCCCAGCGGTGAAACGCTGCTTTTTGGGGGGCTGAGAGAACAAACTGTTTTCCTTTCTTCCTTTTCCTCTCTTTCACCATCTCCCTGAGCTCTTTCCATCTTGCCAGAGTCGGGTCCAAACCAGAGTAACCAGCTCTGAGTGCGTGTTTTGGAGGAGGTTCAGGTTGGATCCCTCCCTGCATCCCAGCCCCGTGAGGCGGTGTCTGTGGACTTAATCCTCTCCAAGGTTCTGCTCTCGGATCCTCGCTGCTCCTGGATTAGCATTAATGAGGAGCATGTGTGCTCACAGGTCCTGCTCCAGGCCCCCAGAGCTGCAGCGCTGGGCTGAGACACGGCTACTCCGAGGAACAGTTCAGCTGAAACAGAACCATTCCTGGGAGCGAACGAAGCTGGAACTTTTTGCAAAGTCTAATTTTGGTCTTTCTCCCCTCACCCACTGAGCATTCTGTTTTCAGGACATCCCAGCACCTTGCTGGCTCCAGTGTGAGTGTCTGGGAATCAGGGAGTTTACCTGAGTCCTGCTGGGGCTGAGGAAGCTGAACCAGCACTGACCTCTGAGCAGCTCTGGGATCTTCAGCTCTCACTCTGCACCATGAAGGCCTCAAAAAGAGGCAGTCCCAACCCACACACCATTTGGGGAAGGGACACTGGTGTTGCAGAGGCAAGGGAATGTTATCCTGGGTTTTTGTGGCAGAGCAACCGCCTTGGCCACAGTGGGTGCCTCAGCCACTCCTCCCCTCCCCTCCCAGGAGCTGCAGCCTCTCATCCCAACAGCCTCCAGACTTGGGATGGGATCTGTGCAGTTGTGCTGAGCTGGCAGGGCAGGGCCAGGGAGCTGCCAAGTGGGACAGCACGTTCCTCCCTAAACTGGGCACATTCCTGGCTGAGAACTGGTGCAGGAGATCCACTGTGATCCATGGGCAGAGGTGGAAGGAACATGTGGAGGGCTTTTCCTCCCTGAGAATCCATCCTCTCCACACTCCAGTTCTTCCTGCTCCATCAGGAGTCCACACACAGAGGGTGAGGTTTCTGTGGGTGTTTGTTTTTGTAACATGCCCCATCTGTGCTCCCACATGGAATGGCAGGGATCTCTGGCCAGGCTGGCCCTCCCAGAGCCCTTGGCACAGCAGAGACCATTCCAAATGCTGCTGCTGCTCCTTTAGCCACTTCTTGGCTGAAATAACAACTCCAGGTGTGAGGGGCAGAACGGGAGGGAGCAAAGACACTTTGGCCACCGATGTTTCGTGGTTGGGGCAGTTCAGCTCTTTGGGCTCTTCTGATTTTCACTGACTTTGAGAAGGGCCCAGAAACAGCAATAACTATTTTCTCTCCCCAGCCAGGCACCAGCACTGCACTGGGAGGCTGCAGCTGGGAGCAGGCAGGACCTGGACACAGCAGTGCAGGGCTGGGGCCTGACGGAGCCGTGGGGTTCCCACTTCCCACTCCAGCCACACCATATCCGTGATCCACAACCTGTCTGCTTCCCATCGTGCAGCTGCCTGGCAGGAGCCTGGCAGTGTCTGCAGCCTGCCCAGACATGTTGCACACTGTGCTTGGCTGGCTGGCAAAGAGCTGGGATACAGAGAGTGTTTTGAATCCATCAGCCTCCGGAGAGAGAAGCCCCCTCAGTGCCTCTGGCAGCCCTTGCAGGCCCAGGCTGTGAGGGCAGCAGCTCTGGGTTGCGGGGCAGTCTCTGGGCACCCCACTGAAGCCCTCAGGGCACACAAGCATTCCCAATCTCTTTCTGACTCCCAAGGGTCCTCCCTGACTCCTGGAAAAACGTAGCCTTGAGTTAAACTGTGTGGAGAGCTCTCAGCAGCAGCACAGGTTTGGGCAAAGTGGAGTCTTGTAGCTCCTGTAGAGACCTTAAACTGCAGAGACCAGAGGGATCAGGGTAATTTCAGGGAAACAGCCATTGGAATGCTTGTGCTTTTTCCCTTCTGGTTTTAAAGGTTCAAAGTCTTGTAAAAATATAAGAGAAAACTGTCCTTGGAATGACTGTGCAGCTGAAAACATCGTTGGCTTTTTGGAATTTCCTCTTCCACCTGGTTCTTTTTTCTTTTATTATTATTATTTTTAGGGTCTTTAGACGAGAACAGATTTGTATTCCTCTCTTCCTGCTGCTCACCTACCACCCGAAATCCTCGGCTGCTCCTTGCAGTTCCCACCACGACAGGCGAGCGATATCCCGAGCGGAGCGCTGGAGCTGCAGGTGAGGGGAAGCAACAGCAGCAGATGGGCTTGTAAACAGCAGAGCTGTGGCTGTGCCACAGAGGCCCTGTTGGAGCGGGGAGGAGCAGGATGGTTGGTAAACACGGAGCAGTTTCCATTGTCTGGGCTGCAGTGTGTGGATGTGGGGAGGGGAGGGGAGGGGAGGGCGGGAAGAGCGGCCCTCACGTTCTGGCACAGTCAGCCCTTCCCAGCACGACCTGCTCGTGTTGGAACTTGCAGCAAATTGGAGAAGACAGGAAAGCAGGGGACGTTTTCCAGCATCAGGGAATTTGTGGGTGATGAAACAAGATTTCTTAGCAGCCCTTTTGCACTAGTCTTGGTTTCTATGAAGGTATCCTAAGGTTTTCCTGCCATTCTTCCCTCCCTTTGAATCCCTTCTGAACCTGTCAGTCAGTCCGAGTTGGGAGTAACTTCTCTGATGGAAAATTCCCACGAGTCACCCCGAAGTTTGCAGCTGGATGGAGGAAAAAGAAACCCAGAGTAGAGTCCCCACTGGTGGGAGAAAAAGGCAGAGTAAGGAGGCTGAATTCCAGAGTTTATTGAGCCCAGAGGGATTTCTAGAGACCACGTGGTGTCAGGTGTAGAAGAAATGAAGGATGATAACCAGTGTGGAGGAGCAGAGCAGCCCAGAACTCCCACAGCCCAGCCAGGCTCCAGAAATGTTGGAGAGGCTTCAACAGCACTTGAATGTGAAGCTGCTGGCCAAGAGCAGCCCCTCCACCTTGCTCTGTCAAGAAAAGGTCCTGATTCATGTCATGTGTGTTCTTTTCCTGGACAGGGAGACTCTGCAGATCCTGTGGAGTGCAGGAGTCAAGGCGAACAGAGACCGATGAATGATGGCTCCACGCTGGGATTTTGGAGAGGTTTGTGCTTGATCCAGGGTTGAAGGGTTGGTGTTTCTATTTTTTTTTTTTTTTTTTTGAGATTGGGAGAGGAGAGGTTACTGAGTCCTTGAGTCTTAATGTAAAATGATTAGAATCTGGAACAGATTCCAAAATAGACATTTAGGGACAACTAAATGCACAAAGCAGCTCGGATACCTATCACTGGAGTTCATCCAGTCCCGGATAAAGCCTCTGAAATAGGCAGTGCTTTAACAAAGTATGTATGTCTGGGGACTCAAAATACAAGGAAAAATTATGAGAGGAAGAGATAACACTTTCTCCATTTCTTAGAAAGGGAGAAAATGCCAAAAAGTTATGAATTTTATTCCCGAGGCTCTCTCAGCTGGACAAGGATCCAAGGTTAAGGTGATCCCCATAACCTGACACTTGCAGAACAAGTGGGCTCACTGCGTCCTGACACGAGCAGGTCTGGCATTTCTAGGGAGATCTCTTATCCCAAGTAATAACCTCAGAGGTTAATTGGAGTCTGGAAATGAGTTTATATGGTAGGTGGGCTAGAGGGGGTTTAATTATGTGTTCAGATCAGTGTTGCTTCAAGCATTAATTTTGCCTGGGAAAGGAAGGTGTAATGTCAGGAATGAGACTTTCGCACTGCTTAGATTGGGAGACAGTGGGGGACTGGTGAGAGCCTGTGGCCTGCATGGCAGATGAAAATGAGCTCTGATTAAAAGCATCTCTTTTGTTTGTTTTGGGCCAAAAATCCCTGGGCTCTGTGTAAGGCCCAATTCCCTCACTCAGCAGTTTCGGGACAGTCAGGCTGTCAGAAGGAATCTCTCTGAAATAACATCTGATTTCTTTTTTTGGCCCTATTTCTCTTTTCTGCTTTGTGTTGTATTCTCCTCACAGCTTTCCAGAGCAGAGTTACTCTTCCACTTGTTCCCTTTTGCCTCCTGCTGAGTCAGTTCCTTTATTTTCCACCATAATTTGTAGTGTAGTCACTCCCAGAATCTGGGAAATCATCCTCAGAAGTCTCCCCGTCTCCTGAGCTTACTGCCAGCTCTCCCACTAAAGCTTTTAATTCTTTGTTATAAAGAAGAATAAAAGGCCAGGAAAGTGCACCACGACACCCATTCAGGTGCCATTACCCTGTAATTCTCTCCAAACTCCGTGTGCATTTATAGTCATGGGAAGTGCTGGAGTGGGAAGCCTCTGGACTAAATCAGTGTGAGCACATGAAAGAGAACAAGTCCCGCACGGGGCAGTGGGTTCTGGGCCGGGTTTGGTCCCTGACTTGCTCCGAGGGCTCAGGAAAATCATTTCCCTCCTCTGAGGGAAGTTTCCACTCCCCACCACAGCTGTGTCCCTGTTTGGACAAGGAGCTCCCTGGGATGCAGCACCTCCCATGTGGAGATGCAGCCTCAGCCAGCAGAGCCTGTGGGGAGCAGGGAACACACACTGGGATGAAAGGTGTGTCTAGACATTCTGCATGGCTGGAACCCCGTGTGCTGGGAGCCATCGCTGGGCCAGTCCTTGGTTTCTCTCCACCATCCAGCAAAGCCTCCACCAGTTCCAGCTGCAGTGGTGACCTGGCACATTCCCAGTTCCACTGCGGAATGCTGTGAAATCATTAAACTCATTTTGCAAACTCCAGCAGTGCCCAGAGGGATTCTCCATCCTGCCTGGAACTGCCTCACCTCCCCACAGGGGAAAAGCTCCTTGTGGCTCCAAGTCATCTCATCCCATCCCACCCCACTGCATCCCATCCCATCCCATCCCATCCCATCCCATCCCATCCCATCCCATCCCATCCCATCCCATCCCATCCCATCCCATCCCATCCCATCCCACTGCATCCCATCCTATCCCATCTCATCTCATTCCACTCCATCCCATCCCATCCCATCCCATCCCATCCCATCCCATCCCATCCCATCCCATCCCATCCCATCCCATCCCATCCCATCCCATCCCATCCCATCCCATCCCATCCCATCTCATCCCATCCCACGCTGAGCCTGCTCCAATTTGCCAGCAGAACAAGCAAACCTCTTTCCTCCCTCCCCCTTGTCTGAGGTGCACACACATCCCCTTGGCTTTCCTGCTTCTCCACAGGCTTTCCCAGAGCCCCTTCCTCCCGTTGTTTGTTCGTTCCCTGCACTCCATCCCACCTTTTGCCTTCCTCCTGGTTGGATGCAGCATCTCGCTGGTCCTGCTTCTCACTCGGAGCAGGGGTATTAGATGGATTCCCCACAGAGTACAAATTGAATGGAGAGAAGTGGCTGCTTTCCCAGCAATAATTTATCTGATTAAAAAAATCCTCCCCAAACTCCCCCTTCCCCCCCTGTCCTGTGCCCCCTCCGAAAGGCACATTGGCACCAGGGCTGGGCTTTGAACTGTGTTATCCAAATTGCTGGGAGGGGGATTTAGATGGGAAAAAAACTGTCATAGGATGGTTCCCGGGGATTTTCCCCAGAGCGTCAGCGCTGAAATTTGGAACACGGGTTGTTGTGTGGGGGAGGCAGAGAGTAAATAATTCTGAGTCAAGTGCCTCTGGTGTCTCTGCCTTTGCCCTCACCCAACAAACACCTTGCACGGAGGCACACACGGTGCTCACACACATTTTCCCATCACGCGGGTTCCACGGAGGAGCTAAGCAGGAACTCCAAAGCACACCAGGCTGCTCTGCTGCTCCCTGTCTCCCCTCTTCTCTTTGCCTTACCTCAGGCTGATTCCAAATGAAAGAAGGAATATGCTCCATAAAATGCCTGTCTCCTTGTTTGTCACCTGCACAGGGTTCATTATTTCCAAACCAGCCCTACCCAAGGCTGGTGGTTTTCTTCTTCCACTGGAGCCAACATTCCTGTTGTACCTGGAGGATGGAAAAGTCACCCCAACATTCCTGTTACAACTGGGGGCGGTAAAGTCACCCCAACCCCTCTCCACCCACTCTGTGTGTGGGGCTTGGCTGCTCCCTGTGTCTCTGCGGGTGGGAGGCAGGTACTTACATCCCATAGTGCTCCCAGTGTGCCCTGATTTACAACAGGAACTCCTTCCTGATGCCAAGGGCAGGATTGCTGCTGACATCCAAACCATTCCAGAGCCCTGGCGTGGTCCCAGCTCCGAGGGCTGTTGGATGATGGACGTTCCTCTGCTCACAGCTGGGGCAAACGTGAATGGGCCCGTTCTGGGCTTTGCAGCCTCGGAGCATCCTTAAGCCAGTGGCCAGGGCTCAGGTTTCCCTGCTTTTTGACAGGAGTGCTGCTCAGATGAGATCTCTCTCTGCTCCTGGAGGATTTACACTGCCACAAGTCCTCATTTTTTCCAGATGTTTTACCTAATAAATCAAGGAGTCTCATCAGAGGTTTCGGATCCAAAAGCTGTTACCATGACTTCAAAGGCAAAGGCTGGAGTGGAAAGAAGCAGAGCAGACATTTTATACCACTCTGTGCTCACTGATCATGAAAATACACTTTGCTTCCAGGATTTTTTTCCTGTGGATACCCAAACTCCACAGTGATTAAATAAAATAGTGCTGTGCTCCTTCAGCAACCTTTGTTTCAAAGGACGGAGCTGCAGGACCCAGGGGCTGTGCACGGCTGGCAGGAGCCAGGATGGGGCTGGCCCTGAGGGGGGAGCTGAGCTGTGCCAGCCCCTGTCCGAAATCAGGGGTCAGTAACTCAGTTCTCAACTCACTCCATCTTTTCAAGTCAGTACTCGGCTGAGTATTTTCTCTCAGTTCAAGCTGGTCTAAGAGATTCTCACATGAAGGATTCAGATGTTCATCTTCAGATGTCTGGGAGAGAAAAAGACAATAGGAGTTATGTGGCTGCAAAATGTGATTGTGACTATTCAGACTGGTTTGTTCCTTGATCAAGAATGTAACTTTTTTTTTTTTTTTTAAATGTAGTGAACCCTTTCTTTTCACAGTGTCTACATGGTGTCATTTCCTCTCACTGCTCCATTTCTAAAGATAAGTGCTTTGTGTTTGGAGAAGCTTTTCTGTGTTTCCAACCCCTTGACAGCACGGGCTGCTGAACGAGAACATAGTGAAGGAAAGCAGCTGAAGAAAGAGAAGCTGTTCCTGTAGTAGGTGAGCAGCAGAGCCACTGGACTGGCTTGTGGTTCCCTGCTTTCCCAGAGTGCCGGCCTGGCTCCGGCTGCGCTGGTGCTGCCCATCAGAGATGCCCAAGCTGGGCTGTGTTCTGGCAGCAGTGCCAAGGGGAGCTGCTGCTTCTCACCCTCTGCCTTGTCTTCCCTTGGATGCCACTGGATTTGGAATCAGAATAGTTTGGGTTGGAAGGGACACCTTCCACTATCCCAGGTTGCTCCAAGCCCCATCCAGCCTGGCCTTGGACACTTCCAGAGATGGGGCAGCCACAGCTTTGTCTCATCTTCCCCCTGAGTGCTGTCTGAGCAGGACTGAGGGGATGGTGCCAGGCAGGAACAGGCTGCTGGGGGCAGGAGGGAGAAAGTGGCCTGGTTGTGGGGAGCCCCTTTGGCACTGGTGCTCAGGTTGAGTGTTGAGTTTCAAGAGAGGATTTGGGCTGTCTCTGCAGCAGAGCCATGGAGAGGGGGCTGGGGGTACCTACAGCAGGGGATGCAAGCAGTGACTTTGGCTTGTGCTGTCTGAGGGTTTTGGGATGTGATTAAGTTGTCACTTAGGGGAATTGGGGACTGCTGCTCTTGGAGAGCTGTGAAAACACTGTGCAGCCCCCAGGAAGCACTGCAGTTCTGTAAAGACTTGGGGTGGGAATTCACTCCAGCTACACTGTAGTTTGTACTTTATATGTCCCAGGCAGTGCAGCCAGAGGCCATTTGGTCCTGCAGTGTGTTTAACCAGATCTTAAAACATCACCATGGTTGCCCATGGTCTTAAAACATCCCCATGCTCCAGAGGAGGGGATGTCCTGCTGCAGCCCCATGGAAGGGAGAGCCAGGTACAAATCCCGTGTTGTAATGGACTGAAAAACAACCTCCTCTAAATATTGACATTCAAATAACAGTCACCACGATACTGTTTGTTCCTGCCACAGGCTTCAGAAAAATTGCTGCTTGTCTTTCCTCCCCCACAACGCTGAATCCCAGCACCCCAGACTGTCGTGACTGCCGGGGATTGGTGACATCTCGAGTGACACGTGTTGGAGCATCAGAACAGAGTGGGAGCAGCACAGCTTGGCTCCGGGAGCCAAAAATAGGTACTATCATTGCTGAGCTGAAGCCTCCCTTCTCCTTCCCCACCCAGCCCTGCCTCTCTGGCACATGCAGCTCATAATCGTGGTGTTCCCATCGGACCAAAGGAAAACCACATTCCTAAAGCAAGCAGGGCATTAAGTAGTGGCCGTGCTTTGGAGGCACAGAATGTTATGACATGGGTCCTAAATTAGTGAGCATCAATGATGATGATGGTTTGCAGATTTCCTGCAGGGAATGGGTGTAGAAAGGAGCATGGCTCATCTGCTGCATTGCCATGTGGAAAAGCATCAGAGACACCATGAAACAGGGAGTGTGAACTCCCTTCACTGGACAGCTGCCCAAATCCTTGTAAGTGAATGACTGAGTGATGAATGTAGCACATGGGGTTTTTCTTTGGATCCTTCCTCTCCTTTATTCTGTAGCTCTGTGAATCTCAGTCATGCTTTCTCCTGGGTTTATCAGTCTGCTCACTGGAGTATTTGTCTTCTTCTGCTGACCTCCAAAAGCACCATTCCATTAAAAAACCCTGATTATTTGGGAAGGGTGAACTTTGATTCACAAAGGTAAGGCTCTTTGAAGGTGTCTGCTCCTTTGGTAGTGAGTGATTCAAATGAGTTCCCTTTCAGCATTCCTGTCTCGCTGCTCCCAAGGCCACACAAAGGAGGAGGGATTTGCGGGGCCGTATAAATCAGGATTTGTTACAGGGATGTCAAACACAACTGCACCACGGGGTGTTAATGCTGAGCAGGTGAGGAGTCAGAGCAAGTCAGAACCAAGGAACAAAAGCCACAAAGCTCCTGTGTCTGGCTCTTGATGCTTCCCAAAAGTGCAGTGTCTGCACACTCCTGCTCTGTCCTGGGAAAGCTGATCCGTATCACAAAGTGCTCCAGTAACTGGATGAGTAGGTTTGGTGGGAATGTCTTTGGTTCTCAATTTCTCCCATCAGGAAAGATCTAAATGAAGTTGTGTGAGCACAGGTCCAGCCCAGGTCTCTTCCCAACACCCAGCTCACTCCGCTGGATTCGTGCTTGGCTGAGCCAGTGGTGACCAGGCCATTGGACACAGGTTGGATTAAACTTCCACTGGAGTAGAGGAAGAAAATTCTCAATCTTTGTGCAGGCAAATAGGAGTTTCCTCCTTTTCCAGCAGCAATTAAATCCCAGTGCTGACTGCACTGAGTTCCTGAGGGCTGGAATAAGAAGTGGTTGGGGGCTTGGTGTGCAGCCTTTGGACAAGGGGCAGTGCTCGTGCTCTCTCCCTTCCTCAAGTTCCATGAGCATTTCAAGTTTCCAGAAGTTCCAACTTGCCCTTTCCAAGCCATGCTCATCTTTCAGCCTCCAGGCTGCAGGGTGGACCATGAGTCCTGAAGGCAGGTTTGTGGGCACAGAGTGTGGGGGGATGGCTGGAGGGGACAGTCTTCTCTCCCAGAATGATCTCACAATCTTTGCAGCTTCCCAAATACCTGCCAGTCCAGGAGACAAGCTGAGCTCAAACCAAAATGAAGCTGTTAGAGCTTTAAAATGGTCCATGAGAGTCCCTTTTTACAGGAGGAATTCAGGGTAGTGGAAGGTTTCAGGGACTGGATGTAGCTCGTGAGCTGGGATCTTGGATGACCATGGGTCCCTTGGCCAGGCTGCACACACGTGCCTGGGCATGTCCCTCGAGCACATACCACTGTGGTTTCTGGACTAGTTTTTGTTATTTCTCAATATTCCCACTAATATTTAATGTATTTGTCTTGGTTGCTGGTAATTTCAGCAGTGAAAGTGCTGACTCTGATGTCCTTCTGGGACGTGACATTGGCTTGGGACAACCCAACAGTTTTTGTGTGGGCCTGCAAAAAATGTTCTGCCCACTGGTCTCCAATCCCAAGAACATTCCTGGTTTCTCTGGTAATATCCTTAAGCACACCACTGATAGATTTTTGTGTAGATGAATGACCCGACAACTCCAAATATTATTTGTTTTCCAGGGTTTCTGGGTCAGTAGAAGGATGGGTCAGGGAAGACTGAGGTGCAGCTGGATAATGCCAGATCCCAGCCAGGGGGGTTCATGTCTCCCTTCCAAATCAGGCCAAGCACAGCCCTGCTCCTCCTCCTCAGCAAAGGGGCTGTGTTAGGAAGTGAGAGCTGGGAGAAGGGGGAATGTTGGCTGGATCTCATGCTTGTTCTCTGGAAGGTTTTAATGACCTTTAGCTTCCATAAAGGAAGGCACCTCCTGGAGCCAAGATTGCTCCTCGCTCAAGGAGCTGAGCAGGGCCAAGCTCAGCTGCAGCCCTGGAGCCTGAAAGTCACCTTTCTCAAGCACATTATGTGTCCCTGAATCCCAGGGTTAGATGGGATATTGGGGAGAAATCCTTCCCTGTGAGGGTGGGGAGGCCCTGGCCCAGGTTGCCCAGAGAAGCTGTGGCTGCCCCATCCCTGGAAGTGTCCAAGGCTGGGTTGGACAGGGCTTGGAGCAACCTGGGATAGGGGAAGGTGTCCAGGACATGGAACAGGATGAGCTGTAGGGTCCCTTCCAACCCAAACCAGTGTGGGATTCTGTGATTTTCTGCCCTCAGACTGCCCCTGTTATCTGATGTTCTCTCTAACCTTTTAGTTACAAAATAGAAGCTTTTTTTTGTCTTACTTTCTACCCTGGGTCCTGAAGAGGGATCACTTGTTTAAAAGTGACACTGAAACACCACGGAAGTATTGCTGCTCTCCACTGGAAGAAACAGGGAGACTTAAGGCTGGATCCAAGCAGACATCTGGAGTAAAATTTACACAAAATTTAGTCTCCTTAGTCCAAAGCCATAATCCTGAAAAACCTGCTCTCACCTTTCCCTGCTGCAGGAGTCTCCTCTGCAGGGCACACTCTCAATTCTGAGTGTTTAAACTTCTTCCTCTGCCTTCTCAAAGGCACTCCAGGGGATGTCCTCTCAGACAGACCTTTCCTGCTGGCAAGACTGGTGCTTCTCCCTAAAACAGCTGGATCAAAATGACCTTGGTCTGGTGGAGGAGGGCAGTACCTTCTTCCACTGCCCACGTGTGCTGGTGGATGCCCTGTGAGTGCAGTGCAGTCCTCAAAGCAAAGTCACATCTTTCTACCTTTTCTAGAAGAGGCCAAATGACCCCTCCTGGTACGTTACCCAGGAAGCATCTCCCATGTCCAAGGCCAGCCTTGAAACTCCTCCTAAAGCTCCTGTGAGGGTCCTTGCCCTGCACCTCCTGAGAACGAAGAGGATTCGCACGACTCTTCAGTGTCTCCTGCCCAGGGATTTGGGTGTTGACTCTGAGTAGCATCATTGCCTCGCTGGAGTTTGGGGCACCAGAGGGTTCCAACCTGCACTGCAAACAGGGCTGCCCCACTGGCATGAACAGAGTCAATCTGGAGTGTAAACAGTCCGGTTTATTAGGGAATTCTCTTCCTAGCAGTCACAGGAGTAAGGATAGAGAGGTGTTACTTCAGGCTCCTCTGGAAGGGGACAGGAGAGAGCAAAACTACACCCAGCTAAGGCTGTCAGCAAAGACTAAACTACCTCTAATTGCAACCAGGGGAAACACTCGAGCAGACAGCCTACAAAAGCTTTACAAAAAGTCTAAAGCAAAAGCTTTTTGTACAAGATTAATCTTTCTGCCTCACTGGGGTCAGCAGTGGGAGTGCAAGGAGAGAATTCAGCACAGTCAGCACTGGTCTGTAAAGATCTATGTCCAGCTTTGCATTTCATCCTGTTTATCTGGGGCTATTAATTAGCTCCTTTCAGTTTTCCTGGGAAGATCTGTGTGTTAGGGCTGCTGAACACTCCTAAAGATCCGTCATTGATTGCTTGGGCAGCTAAATCGGGTCGACAGTTCACTACTCAGAGGTATCTTAACTTTGCATCCTTTTCTGCTGGGGCAGGAATTCCAGAGGTGACTTCAATCTTCTTGTAATGTGCTTGCACTCCTTGCTTTCCTAATTTCATGCCTAGGTATGGCATTTCCATTACAAAGGACTTGTGTTGGTTGAGCTCTGCAGGTCTGGGCCTTTCAATAGCTGATCAGAGCTTCTGGTCATGTGCTTCTGCTCTTTACCCTCAGAACAAAACATCAGATACACAGATCCTGGGCCATCAAAGGCCCTGGAACAGTTCAAGTGCCAAACATAGCCCCAACAGCAGCCTGAGGAATGATGTTTCCCATGGGGGCTGTGGGATATGCACAAACGTATGGTTTGTTTTCCAGCGTGCCTGTCAGAGCCCCGCTGGTGCCTCCAGCAGAGAGAAATATTTGGCATAGGCCATTTCCCCCCAAACTTTGCTGCTTGCAGGAAATAGAAAGTGTTCTTTTCCAACATATTTATTTTTGTTTGACTGTAATCACAAAGGGTTGTGCTTTTCCCCTTTCTCTGGTGACCCAGGAGTGTCCACTGCTGTCAGTTCTGCATTTCCTCTTATCTTTCACAGAGCTGGGAGCCTTTTCACCCCTTCCTCTGGTGTCAGCCGTACTCCATATAAAAATTCCATGTAGGAGATGAGCTTTGAGGTGGGTGTGTTCCATTCAGGTTTACTCAGCACCATGGGCAGCCTTCCCTATTTTTCATTTTTAAATCCACATCCTCTTGCTCAGGTGCCTGGGGAAGGTGTTCTGATGTGAGCAAGACTTTCCAACACAACTGTATGTGCTGCTGACTTCCCAGACCATCTCTTTTGCTGCCTGTGTGTCCCCATACATCTAACAAGGGATCCCTTTGATCAGAGGGAAGGTCCCCGCTGTAGGAGCTGACAATTCCAGAGGTCTGCAGGAAGCTTTAGGTGGAGTGTTAATTAAGTTCCTAGCAGTGCATAAGTTGGTGCTCAACTTTAATTAATTAATATCCATTTATCTTTCAGGTTGTGGTTTGTACCCTCCTGCTGCAGTGTCACCTCACCCACTCCGGCCCACGAAATCCAGACAGGAGCTGTGTTGGCATTCCCATGTTCTTGATCACAGAATCATAGAATCTCAGAACCCTTTGGGTTGGAAAGGACCTTAAAGCTCATACAGTTCCACCCCTGCCACGGGCAGGGACACCTTCCACTATCCCAGGTTGGTCCAAGCCCTATCCAACCTGGCCTTGGACACTTCCAGGGATGGGGCAGCCACAGCTTCTCTGGGCAACCTGGGCCAGAGCCTCTCCACCCTCACAGAGAAGAATTTCCTTCCAATATCCCATCTAACCCTGCCTTCCTTCAGTTTGGTGTCAATTTTAGGTGAAGTGCAAGATTTCTTGGCTTTGTCACATCTAACAGGGTTGGCATCACTCACCTGCCTCGACAGAAAATTAGTAAAACCTTTCATGTGTCAGAACTGCCTGTAGCTAGGAACAGGAACAACTTCATCTTTCTGGTGTGGAAATTGCTCACAGTAAGGGATCTGTCCTGCTCCATGTCCAGGTTCCCACTGCTCCCAGTGCACAGCGGGTGCTTCTTCAGGAAGGTTCTGGAGGCTCCACACCCCATGGGCTGCTGCATTTGCCAGAAATTGGATGCAATTAAAAGGAAAAAAACCAAAAAAGTGAATAAGGGAACAGTAGTGGTTTTGAGTTATGTTTTTCAGTGGTAGTTTTTCACAGCTTTCTTTCTAAGCTAAGTATAGTCCATGAGTGAAAACACACATTGACAGCAGTAGTAGCAGTAAACATGAAAGAAGCGTCAGCGATACTATTCCTTGCCTTCCCCTATGGTGCCTTGTCCAAAGGCAGCGCTTCCCAGAAAGCCCTGGCAGCCTGGGAAGTGGTGGACACTGCAGTGACACCGCAGAGGAGCAGCTGAGTGCTACTGATTGCTGGGGAGTGGGTGGGAGGTCAGCAGGAAAACACCAGACTCCCCTCTGAAAGGACAAACCCAGCAGATCCTGGAGCAGGAATCAGCCTGAGAGAGGGGTTAGAGGCAGATTGCAGTGATTTGGGACTGGGAAAACAGGAGATTTGTGAGAAAGCTTTTCTCCCTCTGTCAAATCTGTCTTATTTGTTATCTGCCTCAGAGGGCTCGTGGCCGAAAAATGCCATTGCTGTGCTTCATGGAATTTAAATGTTCTGATGACACAGACATAAACCTCAGTGTCTGCTCAGCCCCCGCTGCAGGTATTTGAACACGGAATTCTCTTTTTGAGAGATTGATTTCTGTTGAACACCAACACTTCTGTGCTTTCAGAAATGAAGGGCACTTCTGATAACTTCGGATAGCCTGAGCCTCTTTCTCTGCCAATCCCCCACTTTTAGCAATGTAAAGTTGTTCTGAGCACCTAAATTGCCTCCGGTTTTTGTAGTGCACTTTTTTAGCTGGATTCCTTTGGGGATGTGAAGGCACTTTCCTTGTGCAAGAAATGTCCATTGCCTGTATAGCCTGAGAGCGTTTTCCTCTGGGATTTCCCTGCCAGCAGGTACCTTCCACTGTGGGAGGAGCAAATGCCATTTCAACCCTCGATCCTCCTAAGAGCATCCCTCAAAAACGTGTGTTAGTAGAGGGGGGAGCAGCCTGAGCAACATTCACAGTGTGGTGGTCCCCGGTCATGGGGAGGTGGATCAGCACTTTTTGGGGCAGTGATGTTCCAACCCCAGCAATCCCTGTCGGTGTGAGCTCACAGCCTTTCCTTCCCTGCCCATCCCTCTGCTCCATTTGGAATCTCTGAGTGCCTTTGTGTCTCACTTGGACACAGAGTCACATTCTGAGCTCTTTGAAGCACATTTCATATTTCTTAGAATCAATAAACTTCACAGGCAGTCGCAGAAATCCCAGGCAGTCAATAAGTCCCGTCAGGCTCCCTCAGGAGTGAAAGCAGAGTGTTGTAAGGACATTTCTTAGGGAGCTGCTGTTCAGGCATATTTGTTGTTTCAATTAGTCTGATTTAGGGGCTCAGTCAGGGGCTGCAGCCTGTAGCACTCACACTGTAATTTGATTTCTAAAGCTGCCTTTCAGGTACTAAGGGAGTAAAACTCTGTGGTAAAACCCCAGTGTGGCAGCAGCCGTGGAGATCCCGGCGTGCCTGTCAGGCAGATCCAGGGAGATCCCAGGGTTCACCATCACCCACATTTCACACCCCACATCCCATCGGAGCCCTCCTGGCTTTGATCACCGGTCCCCTGGGAGGAGCACGGAAAGGTGGGAGAATTATGGTGTTTCTCCAGAACTGTTTCCCTGAAGGGATGTTTAAGCAAACAACAACAAAAAAAGAAAGTCAAATGAATGTGTGTGAGAAGTGCCAGATTGGCAGCTTGAGCGAGTCAAACGTCACCGGTGAGAAGGCTGCCCATGTTTTATGTGCTGGAGCTGTCAGTGCAGCACCGTTCCTCGGCACAACACGTGTTCCTTGCTCTCCAAACTGTCCCTGTGTCCCCACACTGCTCAGTCCTGCAGCTGAGACAGAGTCAGACTGCACTGATAGGGGTAAGGGGTCGGACTGCTGAGCACTGGGAAGGAACGCTGGCTGATTTGCCCTGGTTTTGGAGATGCTTAAAAAATGCAAGAGGTTAGAGAAGATTTAAAACCAAAATGTATGGAGAACGAGTCAAGGCATAGCTCTGCTTTCCAACTAGAAACTGCTGGGAACAAAGCTCGTGTCTCTCCTTAGGAAATCAGGGCTCTATCCTTGTTGTTGCACTCTGGGAAGAGGCCTCCATGCTCTGACAGCGACATCACCAAGGTCTTGTCTGGACTTTCTCAGCACTCCCAGCTGCTGCAGCACAATCTTTCCTGGCAGGAAGGGGTTTTGGGAGGCACAGACCCTGTGGTGACAGAAAAGTCCCCAGGACTCCAGGGTCCTTCAGGGGCACCTCATGAGCTGGGGAGTGGAAGCCCCATCTAAACAAGGTCTTGTTCTGAAAAGTTTGATTTTACAACTGTTTGAGTTTGTCCCTTTCTCAAATGACATGGTAAAAAATGAAGTATGATATTTCTTCCATGAAAAATACACTATATTTATAGGAAATTCCTTCACAGCATTTGAAGGGGTGATGAGGTTTGGAGGAGAATTCCAGTTGAAGGAAGCAGAGCCAAAACTCTGACTTTAAAGAGCTGTCTGAGAGTGCATGAACAAGATCATTCCAGGAACTCTGTCCCTATCCCAAGCTATTGTCCAGTGTCTTTATTCTTTCCTGCTTCTGCAGCTCCTCCTCCCTGTCTTCACTACATCATAGTAATGACTGGTTTTGAACTGTTCAATTAGTGGACTAAGGTAATTTTGTTTGCATTTGCTGTCCTGTCCCAAGGTTCTAATACTGCTCTGTGCCTCTGCCACTCAAAGCAGAGGGACACTTCAGCCACCCTTTTCAAACAGGGGCTCCTGCAATCATTCTATCTGTATATTCAGTTTTAAACACCCACAGTTGTGCTCTGAGATACAGGCCAAGAGCAAAGGACACTTGTGGGAGTTGTAGGTGTTGACACAGCAATCAAATCTCTTTGGTCTCAAGCTTTATGCTTGGACCTGCTCATCTAACTCTGGCTGATCCATTTGTGTCTCCCACAGGTAACGTGGCTTTCTCTTTCCATTTCCAGGAGTCCCCAAATGCAGCTGAGCAGGCCCCTGATGGTTGGTGGGTGCCAGAGCTGGTGAGGGATGACAGCGTTCTGTAGCCCCTGGGAAGTGTGCCTTGGGCTCCTGTCAGTGGGTGCTGTGTGTGGGAATGGGGAGCAACTGCCACGTGCTGAGAATGAGGGGAGTGAAGGATTCCCACCATGTGATCCATCAGCTCATCTGATCCATCTGATCCATCAGCTGGGCCTTTCAGGTAAGACACAGAAAAGGGCTGTGCTGCTGTCGGTCCTGAGGTTTGCAAGGTGTGCTGGGCTCCGCATTTTCCAGGCATCCTCTGCTGCTGGTCTAAGGTTGTTTCTTTGGTTTCCCAAACCCAGAGGCAAATGACTGTTTTTTTGTGCTAAGCATCAATTCTCTTCCTTTTTTTTCTTATCCTTTGTCCTCTCCATGGTTTTCCTCTCCATTTTGAATTCTCTCAGACTGCTGCAGTCTCACTTCCCTGAGACTTCCCTCCTGGCACAGACACCGGGAGAAAACGTGATGGTGTTCACAGAGCACTGAGACTTAGGAGATGTGAAATGTGGACCTGCTGCTCTACCTCTGGTGACTCACACCACCTTTCTGTGGTTCTGCTGTCCTTCTGACTTCCTGTCAGGATAACCTGGCCTGAAACCTGTCTGGGGAAAGGACTTGGTTTCCCTGTGTGATCCTACGGTGTCTAATACAACAGGACCCAACCTCAGGTAAGACCTTTAGGCACTCCCATTATATGAATGAGAACAAGATTGTTGGTGTCAGTAATTAACATTCTTGTGGGATTGTTGGAAATGCTTTGGGATAAACACCACCTGGAATCCTCACCTGGCTTATGGGGTTTCTAAGCTGCAGAGGAGGCTGATCCTGTTCGCAGCAGAGGCCATGGACCATCTGTCTCCTCTTGCTGGATGTGCAAAGTCTTTCAGTCCAAAGATGAGTTGCAGTAGCTCAGGGAGACATTGGGACACCTGGAAAAGTGTGGGCACGGCCTGTGGGGAAGAAGAATGGAGACTCAGCGGTCAGTGTGTCCCCAGTAACGATCTCACCTGAGAACAACATGAATGACAACCACCAAACCAGAAAAATACCACCCACAGTGTCACTGAAAATGCCCTGAATGCCTGTGGCACAGTGTCATCCCAGGACAGGCTTCCAGAGAGGAATCTCACTCTGTTTATATCAAGGGCAAAAATCCCGTTGACTGCAATGACATCAGGATTTCCCCTTGAGGGTTACTTGGGTTCCTCTCCTTCCGGAGAGAAGAGCCTAATCCCACATCATTATGCACATCCTAATAACAAATAGATAATTCTTTTCCTTTAAACTGTGGACTGGATTCCAGTAAACCCTGCATTTTGGATTCTAGGTTCCCTCTATCTAGCTCTGCAATCCCTAAATAAACAAACATTGGATTAGACCTCAGCAGCTCCCTCCCTCAGCAACCAAAGGCTTTAAAAGCATTTCACACCAAGTGCCCTGCTCTGTTTCAGACTCCGTTAACAGCGGATTCAGGGAGCTCCATCTTCCTCTCAGACTTCCCAGGGAGCTCACCTCAGTGATTGGAAGGTCTGCCTCTACTTGTGACCCTCCCTGACTCCAGCGAGGAGCTGGAATTGCTGTTGACATCAGGAATGACAGAAGTACGTGCTGGGGTTGGAGGGTTTCTGGCACATGGCCTGCTAACCCAGAATTTGCTCGGCAAAGTCCGGAGGGTGACTTTTAACCTCAGAGCAGTTTGCAAAACCACATCTGTGTCCAATAAATGTGAAAAATAAATGAAAAAAAATAAATCTAGCTCCTACTGAATGATGAAAGCCAGCACACCTCACTGGGCACTGGTGCTGGAGTCAGTGTGGAGATCTATACAGGATTAATTGGACAGGTCATTGTTGCCAGGAGTTGTCCGTGGATGGAGCTGATGCCTCACACACGGGAGGCAGCACAGCAGGTTAAACTGAAGGGATCTCATAGCTCTAAGTCTTAAACTTAATGAGCCACATCTTTATTTGTGCTGCAGCCCCTTCTTCGCCCCAAATTGCCTTAACCAGCTGCTAGAGGATGCCCAGTAATGGAAAATTGTCTGGATAACAATAAATTGGTGTAACGACTCAGTGTCACCTCACATCCTGCTAAGCAATAGAGAAATCACGGTGAGAAAAACAGGCACAGCCAGAGTGGCACTGAACAGTGGAATCCTAATTCCATCACCCTTCTTGTGGGCCACAGATAACCCAGTGCAATTTACAGCCGCTCTGAAGCGGCTCCAAGTCTCAGCAGGAGTTGGGAAGGCTCAGTGTAGCCTCGGGACTGAGGAGTCACGGAAGATCAGGGGAGTTGTTGTTCCATAACCTTGCCCCTGCACCAAAACCGGTGGCTGGTCTGGAATGGGAAGCCCTCCAAGCAAAACACGTTTTAATCACTGAAATGAAGGTCCTCCTCTGGATCCCTCTCTGGAGAACTGTCTGTCTCTGACAATCACGCACAGACTGCCAAAGAAGGTGAATTCTGGATTCAAATCTGTGCATCACCAGCGTGTGAATGACACTGGCAAATCTGGGCTGTAAGGCTGAGATATCTCCAAGAAGAGAGAAATACTTTTTCCACTTAAATGACTGAGGTAGAAGAAGTAAATATTTTGTCTCCTTCTACTGAAGGGCGAGGAAATCATTTATACACATCTATTATACCTTTGCAGACTAACAGTGGTGTTCTTTTCAGTTCAAGAATCCAAAAGTTTAGAATTACCAACATGAAGGTGGTCTGTGCGACTGTAATTTGTCCCTTTTGTGCATTTGCATTATGATCCAGTATTTAATTGTGATTAGATCACACGCTGTTCTTTCAACAGGTTCCCGGCCTCACTCGTTGTACAGAATAGGCTGTGCTCAAAAAGCAATAACTTTATTTTCTCCTCGCTGTTCACTGCATGGCCTGTGCTTTATTTACAGCACGCTATTCAAATATTGTTCTGAAGACAGATTTATTCATTTCCTCCTGAGCGTTTTCATGGGACTCATCACTATGGTATCCAAGTGCTTCACAAACTCTAATTCATTTTCCCAACACTGGAGTGAGAACTGGTGTTGCCCTTATTTTACAGACGAGGAACTCGGGCATACAGACAGAATAATAAAAAAATATCTTTTCATTTTAGAGATCTAATTAGAAATACTCAATGGCCTGATTTTGTCAGAAAATAGAACATGGTGAAGCATCCAATTCAGTCAGAAGTTGAATACATTCTCAGCTGCTGCAGATTTATCTGCAAGTGCTCTTCACTTCTGCAGATCACACTTTAAAATGTCAGCCCGGGCACCTGGGCAGTGCTGACAGCACAATTCGGGCAGTGCTGGGCAGGCTCTGTTTAAGGACTGTGCTTTGCATCCCAGAGGATTCCCAAGGCTGAAGCCCTTTCCTGGAGCAGCAGTCACCCCTTCCCACTCGCAGTGCTGTGCTCGCTCACCCCACAGTTCCTCACAGGGTGCAGAACATACCTACATCTGATTTTCGCAGTAAATTAAGTGGAAGTTGTTGAGGCACTTGCCTGGGTTCCCTGACCTTGGTTCAGTGTCTGAGCCAGGCTTATCCTTCTGCACTGGCTGCCTTTATCCCGGTGTTTGATGACTGAGGAGTGTGTCCTTTTGCAGCCTGACTACTGTTGTTTTAATAAATACGCATTTCTTTTCAATCTAGAGATACCCTTGGATAGCCCAGCAATGTAAGCCTGTGCTGACATGGATGCAGGCCATCAGCAGTGTGGAAACATTCCCTGTATGAGGGATGTGGTGGTTGGCACACGCTCCAGCACTCAAAGGGGACGAGGTATGTTCTCAGTGTGTGTCAGATACCTGCTGCCAACAGTTTTCCAATTGATCTTCATTCCCATTCCTAAATTCTCACCTTTCTGCTCTGCCTCCCTCCCTCAGTCTCTGTCACTCCTGTTCCTACATCACTGTTCCTAGTGAATTCCCTCTTCCCCTTGTCCCTGCTGCAACCCACACCCAAATTAACTTAGGGTTCTCCTCCCTGATCCCACTGCAGCTTTTCCATCCAATCCCTGCGCCCAGCAAGTTCTCCCTCAGACACTGTACGGACAGCTCTGGGTGCCCCTAAGCTGCATGTTCCTCCTCCTGGAAATTTTCTCCCATTCCCACTCCGTTTTTAATTCTTCTCCCAGCAGCCTCGCTTCCAGACTCTTCCTTATGAGCTTTGCTTTATTCCTCCCTCCAGGCAGACCTGCTTTTGCTTCCAGCTTGTTGTTCCCTTCCACCGCCCTGGAGAACCTGTCTCTCTCCAGACCCTCCTTGCCTGCCATCGTACCTGTCCCAGATCCAGTTCCCGTCCCCACTGTGTGTTACTCAAGGAGCTTCCTGCTCCATGTTTCCCAAGAGGACTGGAAGGACAGGTTCCCTGCTCGCCCTTCCTATCTGCAGCCTTGGCATGGTCCAGAGCAACAGGGAACTGGAAGTGCAGGTCCAGCTCCGACTCCCATAGCCCTGGGCTGTGATGAGGATGGAATTGCGGGGGAATGGAAGTACTGGGAAGCCTCCATAGAGCACCGGTGGGATTTTCAGGAGGGTTTTCGTGATGGGGTTTGAGGGAACACCTCTGACAATGTGACTATTCTCATCTACAAATTTGACAACCCCTGACAGAAAGAACAAAAGGGGAAATCTTTATAATTTAACCTGAGGTACGAACATCAGATGCTTAAATTTCAGCACAGCGGTTACTCTGGCCCTATTAAATGCGACTGAGGGTAGGATTTTATGATGGGAATTGCTAACCAGCTTAATAGCAGTTACACTACCAGTCCTGCCTTTTAATCACTGCTTCCATTTTCAGGATAAATTACAGCTGGTTGCTGGTAATCCTTGTGGCATATCAGATAGCAGCGTAACTCGGCAAGGGTAAGCTGGAGAAACCCAAACATCCTTCTGAGGAGGTAATTATTCCATTGTGAAAATGCTCCGGGACATTTTTAGTGGCCAAACCCCCTGTTTCCTGGCAGAAACATAAAATAATGAAGGAAGTTTCACAAGGAGAAACGCTTCAGACACCTGTACTAGCCGGTGCTTTGCAGTCATAGCAGCGTTTAATTCGCCGTGCACATCCCTGCGTCCCCGTGCACGGCCAAAGCCACACCTGGGTTTGGGGCACTGGGGGCTGTGCCAGCGCTGCCTGGCAGAAAACCCTCTCCACAAACAAATCTGCAAATCCCGCTGGATCAGGGATAATTTCACGGGAATGTAGAGCTGCCTGCAACAAGAGGGACACCCTCACGGCGCGCACCGAGGTTATCAAGGGAAACTTTCCTCGGCAGGAGTCATACATCCAGTGTAAAAGCCTGGATTTTTGGGGGAACAAATGACGTAAAACTAGTTTTAAAACATTTTGCAACACGTTTTTGTGGGGATGTGCCCTCGTTTCGTGTCCCGCAGTGCCCCAGGGGTCTGGTTATCTCCCGGTTACCTCGAGCACTGGTCCTACATAATTTATGTCCTGAAAGAGACGATTCAATTAGTCAATAATAAAATGAGCAAGGACAGCGTGTGCGTTGTAAAAATATAATTTAGTGGGCAACAAGCTGAGATGGAAAAATATAAGGGTACACTCCATATGATTAATGAAGGAAGAATGTATATTTATAGCTCTTATTGTGTCCTTCATAAGCAGGAGGATCCGGCAGTAGGACTGGAACCGGCTGGTAACGATGCGGCATTCCAGTGATTGGGATTTGAATGGCAAATGCTGTATAAAACTAATTACCCCCAGGAGGATGAAAATACATTTCATTTGCCTTTTCGGAGCATGTTTGGCCTTTTCTTCACGTTTATTTACGCTCGAAAAGCACGTTGTTTAGGAGGGGAGACATCCCAGACGGAGAAGTGAAGTTACCCCCCAAGAAAACAAGTTTCCACAAGTTATTTTTACACATTCAGCGCGAATTTGGATTTCTCGGTCGTAGTGGATCGCGCTTCCCAGCAGCTCACGGTGCAGGGAGTTCTCGCTTCCCACATCCTCCGGCTCGGCACGCAGCGAGGATACCCGGATTGGTGCCGAACCGTTCGCTTTCCCCTTTTTTCACGCGTGAAGCGCACGCAGGTCCAACAGTCACGCCGGGGCCGTCCCGGAGAGGGGAAAACACAGATTTATTGCGTTAAAACCCGGGAACTTTCGTGCCCCGAGCGCCTGACAAGGAGAGGGTGCGGAGGGCGAGGGTGCCCCTGAGGGGAGGGCGGCGGCCCCGCCCCCGCGTGCGCGCAGGCGCCGTGGCGCGCGCTGGGGACGGGGGGGGCGGGCGCGCGCACACCTGGCGCGGGGGTCGGGGGCGGGAGGGGAGGCGCGCGCGCGCATGCGCGCGGCGGGGGCGGGCGGGAGGCGGCGCGCCCCGCGGGGTCCGTGGAGGGAGGGAGGGAGGGAGCGGCGGAGCCCGGCCCGCGATGGAGTGAGGGAGGGAGGGAGAGCGGGAGGGAGGGGGAGAGAGAGCGAGAGCGCGGCCGCTCCGCCCGCCCGCCGCTCTCCCGCCGCCGCCTCCGCGGGGCTCAGCCCGCCCGGCAGCGAAGGAAGGCAGGAGGAGCCCCCCGGGGGAGGGGCTGGCGCTGGGTGCAGCCCGGCTGCCGGGCGCGGGCAGCGGAGCGATGGCGGCGCGGAGAGCCCGGCGGCTCCTCGGCTCCCTCTGCATCGCCCTTGTCCTGGCGCAGCCCGCGCCCTCCGCGCGGAGCGGCTCCCGGAGTCCCCTCACGGGTAAGCGCGGGGGACACCCCGGCGGGCGCGGGCGGTCCGGGGGCGGGGGCGGCCCCGGCGGGGCGAGCGGTGCCTGAGCCCGCTCCGCCCGGCCGGGCGGGCACCACCAGGGGCCACTGCGCGCCTCGGGCAGCGCCGGCGGAGCCTCCCCGCGAACAAGGGGCACCGGGAGCGCCGGCTGCGGGCACCGAACGCGTCCCCCACCTGTGCGCCTGTTCCCGGCTCGCCCCGGGGCAGGCGGGCACGGGCGGGCTCCGTCCCGGCTCGGGAGCGGTGCTGGAGCGGCACGGGCTCGGTACCGGCAACCTGTGGGCAGAGGGGAACTTGCCTGGGAACTGCCGCAGTCGCCCAGAAATGAGCGGTCTGGCAGCGTTTCAGCCGCGGTCGTTCTCACACCTTTTACCATTGTTACCTTTAATGATCCGTGATTGAATCCCGGTTCTTTATACGCTACGGAAAACGCAGTCTGGCCCAGGTGAGGCAGGAGAAGGCTTTCTCTAAAGCCCTTGTATGAGACTGTTAATACTGTAGAAGCCTCCTTAGCTTTGCAGCGATGTTATCTGCTCATTTTGCCAAATACTGGCTTTAAAAAGTAACTTCTTTTTTCCTCGTTGCCAGCAATAAGCTCGTAGGAAGCTTGAAAGAAAATCTGGGCTTGAACGCTGGGATTAAAAAAAAAAAATCGCGTGTAGATTTGATTGAATCATGGTATTTTAAGAGAAAGCTCTGTGCAAATGGAATTTGGAAAAAACTGCTGGTCAAATGAGTGATTTTTAGCAACTTGGGAAAGTAAGAATGGTTAAACTCTGATGTTAAATGGTATAATCGTTCTGTTTCAAATCATACTAGGCACTAATGTCTGTGGTAGTTCTCATTTTGGACACCACTGATGGAACCATGTGTGCTGACTCTTGTTGACAGGGAATATATTTATTTATTCTCTTACACACTCTAAGCTTTACAGATTCCAGGCCTGAAGCAGATTATTTTTTTTTCTTTTTTAAATATTGTAGTAGGATTCAAAGATCTACAAAGTAGACAAGATACTTTTTGATGTTTAAAGTCTTGGTTTGTGATGATTCTTTTCTGGTATTCCTGCTCTCCTAACAGCTCACTGGTGTTATGGTTGTGTTGGTTGTTCTTTGCTAGTTTAAAACAATCCTTGGTGGTTTGAGGAAATCAAATTGGTAGGTGAAGTTCTGTTTGTTGGAGCCAAATATGTGAATTAAGTCTGCAAAGGGGGAATGATGTGCTGAAACAATAGGGAATAAAACCTGCATTGGAGCAGGAATTTAGAAGTATCATTGTGCAGATATGGAATCTCTGGTTCTCTCCTGTGGAAGGTGCTTTATACCATGTCCATGGGTGCTGTCCTGTGGGATCCCTGGTAAGGACCAGGAGCTGGGCTTTCCCTCCCTGAGGGTGGTTGTACCTGGTCTTTAGAGGGAGCGAGAGGCTCTCTTGGTTCTCAGTGAAGATGAGATACTCGTGTGGTGGATGAACTTCATCTTAATTCACACTACTTCCCACCTGATTGCTGCTTTTTTTTCTTAAATAAGGGATGTTCCAAATACTTCTATGCTGTCACAGGGTATAGAGACTTGCAAGTCCCTCCCTGCTTGTAGGAGAGGGAGTCAGGCAGAGATGTTCCATGGCATCAAAGTGCTCCCCTTGGTGTTTCAGATGTGAGGGTGACAGTGGCATGTCTTCTGTCCCTTGCTTTGGGTGAAGCTTCATCTCTTTAGGATGTTGGGAAGAGCCTCCCAAGGGTGGTGCCAAGGGCTGGAGAGGCAGAGGAACACCAGGTTTGTAGGTCCGGGTGGAGTTCCAGCTGTGAGACTCCCAGCTCTGCTTGTCAGGAGTCAAGTGTTGCTTGCTGTGTCCAGAACAGGGGGGTTTAATGCAAAACCCCACCACGGTGGCCTTTTGGTGTGGATAAAAATGCCCTAAATGAGCAGAAGTTGCAGATTTGGAAGTCCATGTTCTTTGTATGGAACTGTGTGTGTTGGAGGGACATTTGATCCCATCTATAAATAGCTGGTCATTGCTCTCTGAAGAAGAAAAGAGTGCAGCTGAATTATTTTAGGAAAAAAAAGCTGTGTAACTTCATTTATTTGTGTATCTGCAAACATTAGTGTGTTTTCCAGTCTAGTTGGTTGATTTGCAGATATGGTGAGATGAGATACTGATTTTAGAGTTAGGACAATGTTTCACTTAGCTAAGAGAGTAAAACCAAAAATATCAGGAAGAAACATCAAATTAAGCTAAATCTTGCCTGTTTTGTTAAATCTAACTGCTGAATCTTAACTGTTTGTTACTGAGTTGAGATTTATGTATAAACTTGGGTCTATATGGGATTGCATTATTGGGAATAAAAATGAAGTTGGTGTAAATTTTTAACAGGAAAGCTGTGATAGCCTGTATACACCATTAAGATTGCAAATGAGATTATTCAAAAGCAGGAAATTTGTTCTGTCTCTCCCTGGTATTCTCAAAGTCCTTGGAATCGATATGTATTTTGTTGTGAGAGGATAAACTGCCGGTTTGGGAAGTCCCAGTGGAACAGAATTAGCAATTGGTGGGCCTGGAGCTGCACGATGTACCCAGAACCAAAGGGGTCTGTGAGCGGCGTGGTGGGAACCACTCCCAGGTTCTGCTGCTGGGGATGCTCGTCCTGGGGGGCTGGGGATGGAGCACAGATCGTTTGGGGTCCCTGGAAAGAGCAGGTTGTCATTTGTTTCTGTTTGGTGTGTGCTGCTTGATTATTTCTAATTATATCGCCTGTTAAAAATAGAGCAGAAATATTCAGGTCTCGGTTACATCCCAAGCACCGTCTCTCCGCTTGATATTCCCGTTCCATATGGACAGGTTGCATGGCTTTTGCACTGCACGTTCGTTAGTCATCTAAGAGAATTACCTGAGTGGCTTGTGAAGCTTTCCTAATAAACTAACACTTCAGTTTAAAAGCTGTCAGGTGTGTGTACACACCTGTGCCTAATGTTTATCACAGGGAAAAGCAGCAAACAAAAAGTGTCATTAAAAAAAAAAAATCCCTTGGCTCAGTTACCTCGTGCAAACTTATCAGTTTGAGTAAGGAACTTACATATGGTAGGTATTTCCATGTATAAACAAGAGTATTTGGTTGTTCCTGGTGATAAAATGCCCTTATGATTCACATGACATTAACCCTCAAGCAGAGATTTGCAGAGAGGTCTGAAGACTCTGCAGGCACCTAACTGGAGTTTGCTGCCTGGCCGAGAGGAGGAGGGTGATAAGTGTGGAAACAGAGTGGGAGTTGAGGAAAACTCCACATAGAGCAATACAAAATGTTTCCTAACCTTTGCTTTTGAGCTATAAAAACATTTGACTTGGGCAACATCACCCTGAGTTGGTGATGGGGGGGGTTGAAAGGATGTTTTTGTGCCATCCCCAGTTTCCTGGGGATAACTTGGTGTATAAAATGTTGCTGATGTGTTTGTAGCCAACTTTTCTAAACAGGCAGTGGTTTTATTGATGCAGGATGTCTAAAGTGTCACTTGGCATTGCCTACGAGGAGATACAGCTGGAGTTGTTGCTAATCACTAATTAATGCTGGTTTCCTAGCAGGAATCTGTGCTAGTGTTGGGGTGTCAGCCAGTGGAGAGGAGACAGTCCCAGGCACTCAGGGGGTGCTGCTTTGGATTGTCCTGATGAAATACACTTCTGTGCCTCCGGTATTTAAATATAATGCCTGAGGCTGTTGAGTTTAAAAAAGGCAAAATTGTTCTTAATAGAGAAAATTCCTCAGCAGCGTGGAAACAACAGTCATATTTTACTGATTGAATGCTATTGATTTCAGCCTCCAGTGAAATTGCCAGGATGAAAGTGGTAATCCTGATTAATT